CAATGCGCACCTACGGACGGAGTTGCAGACGACGCAGACGGAGTTGCAGGCGACGCAGTCTCAGGTGCGTACGCTCACGGCCGTCCTCGACGTTGTGGCGCTAACAAACCCGCAACTGGCGGAAGAGTTGCGTCAGAGACGGGAAAGCGGAGCCCTTCCATCCCAAGAGCCTCCACCATCTCAGTCACAGCCGGCATCCCACGACCCTGGAGACGACTTCGTGAACCAATTTTAGTTTTTTTTTTGTTTTTCATTGTATATTATGAATTTTAAAACTTATTATTGTATATTATTAGTTATTTATAAATATTTTTTTATTTATTTTTAAAATTTTTTTAAATATATATAATTTTAATTTATAATTGTTTTTTTTTAATAGGAAAAAATAGTTTCGAAGTAAAATCCTCGTAAAGTTTTCGAGGTAAATTCCTCGTAAACTTTCCTAGCAAACTCGTCGTAAAGTAACTACTACGAGTTTACGAGGAAATACTTTACTACGCCCTTACGAGGAAAGTCTACGTGGAGCTTACGAGGAAATGTTTTCCACGGCTTTACGAGGAAACCTTTCCTCGTAAATTAGCTAGGCCTTTACGAGGAAAAAAGCCTTTACGATGAACGTCTTTCGACGAAACACGTTTCCTCGCTATTTCCTAGTAAAGGGCCCTTTACTAGGAAATAACGAGGAAAACCCGTCCTAGTAAATGACGTGTTTTCTTGTAGTGTAACTACATATCAGGAAGTGCTTATCGATTCTAGAACTCTTCAAAATTTTTGGATATAAACCGAGAAGACAATACTCTGAAATGTTAATTCGACAAAGAAAATTATTGATGAACTGTGGAGAGAATTGAACTTTAAGAAAAAGAAATATTAACTCATATTTTACTAAGTTATCTTAATTATATATATGTCTAAATTATACTTAGATTTTTTATATACATAGATATATAACTATTAATATATGTTATTATTAGGATATCCTATATTTGCATAGGACTTCTACAAAAATTTTATTGCCATTTTATTGAATTTTGTTAATTTTCAATGATCTGACATGGAACTGAGAAAATATATTATTTTATAGCGCTTATTAATTTAGCAAATATTTGTACTGTAAACTTTAATTTTCGGTATAGTTATCTTAGCATTAATTCATTTTTTCATAATTTATACAATATCATTCCTACACATGTCGGATAATTTTTTTTTTCTTTAGTCGAGTAAGTATGATTGTAAAGCAAATACATCCGACTGAATTTCGATGATGAGCTTCACCCGGTATCTCGACTGCAGCGTGTAATTTTGGAACATCCACGGGTGTAGTTGTTGGCGGGCTTACCGATCGTATGAAGAGAGTTTGGAGGATTGCATCCTGGAGGAGGATTAGGACCTGAGCACGGATTAGTCACACCGCCACCTACGTAGGTCCTACCTTTCACTGACACTGTAACAACAAGGGAAAAAATTACTAGCAAGCATATCGCCCACGTCTTCATATTTAAAAAAACTTATCGGGATATTATTGTTTATGTTTCTTTTTGTTGCTTTTGTTTGTTGTGAAGATGGGCTGGAACAACATTTATACGCAGTAGGATTGCCTTTCTCATAAATTCATGATCATCTCAATCAGCCAAAAACTACAAACAAGTTTGGAATGGTCAAATATTATCATTAATATTGGTAAATAATCCATCAGTTTATAGTCAAGGATCTGCTTAACGTTTTCATTTGACTAAGAAATCTAAACTGCATTCAAATATTTAATAGACTAATTTTTTTTATCAAGATTTAATTGACTAGTTTATATATTTTTTACTTTTATTTAACAAACTATATAAATATATATAAAGACCAAGATAAGTTAAAAATACTAAAATATCATCTGATAAGAAGTATTAGAATATTTACTACAAGATAATATATATACTTATATTTTCAATAAAAAATTGTTATTTTAGGATTAATCTTATTTAAGATATATATATATATATATATATATATATGAATTAAAAATGGAAAATATAAAAAAATAAATTGATTAATTAATCACTTATATTGTATATCTTAAATTAAATATTAGTTTTACATTTATCTTTCAATAATAAGATACAACTAAATTTTTACATACGCTTTTCAAAGGCCAGAAATATTATAGTTAATTAAATAGAAAAAGAATTTGTTTTTAGTTTCAGTTTATATTTATTAAACCGGTTTGGATTGTGTTATATATACATTTACGTTTCTTTAGCTAATTTTGATGGGTCCTCAAATATAACATACTCAGTTTTTTTGAACTTTTATAACTTATGTAATACTATATTCTAAAAAAATAACTGTTCACATTGATTTTTAAAAGTAAAAAACGAAAATCTATCCTATTAATTTAGAGTTTTGCTTTCTGTAGAAAATCATAATAGGGTCATTTGATTAATTATTTAATATGATATATTTGATTATTTACATTAATAAATCAAATGTATAAAAAAACAGTTTTTTTTGAGTTATAACAAAGTCCGTTGAGAACACATTTTACAAAATCTTATTAAATTTTAAATACTTTTATACAATAATGCCATAACTAATTTCGTAAGTATTAATATAATATTGTTTTTTGGACAAAAATTAATATAATATTTTTATGAATTAATATTATTTAAAAAATTTTAAAACAAAATAAATATTCTATGCCATTTTAATAAATTATGTAGTTTTCAAAGAAATTATTGCCCAAATATAAAATTTGGAAAATGAATATTCTAAATTCAGAAGAAAATATTCCAAATTTTCTAAAAAGATAAAAACATATATGCTAAAGTGTATTTTTGTAATGGAAAATGAAAAACAATACTATTGTAAAATCTAAAGTAGTATAATATTTCAAAATCTTAATCTAATAGAAAAAAACAGAGAACTTAATACGGTAATACCATTACATCACAAATATCTTGTATTGATAAAATTACTAATATAATATCATAGATGCTATTATATATAAAATTTATCAAAATAATATGGGCAAATTAATTATATAGAAAAATATATTTATTCATGAGATCCAGCAAAATACTGAAAGAATAGAGGGAAAATTGCCAAATATGACTCAAAATTTGATTTGAAATGCAAAAGTAAACCCAAACTTGAATCAAATGCAAAAGTAACTTAAAAGGCTATTGAAATTACAACCAGCCCCTAGTGAACAAACAAAAAAAATATTTTCTTTTTACGTTTCTAGCCCTCACAAGTCGTCTGCCCAGACGACTTTCAACTAAGTCGTCCAGACTACTTAACTGAAAGTCGTCTAGGACAGTTTTTCTTAAAAATAATTTAAAATTGTGTAATAAATATTTTGATAAATGAAAAATTGAAATCATGTAATTGACACTAGTTTTAAGAGATATAAATTAAGATAGAACAAAATTTAATTATTTTTAACATAGATGAGTGAAAGTAGTGAGTGATGATATTCTTTGGTTTAGGGGTTGCCAACATATGTTGTAGTATTGTATGTGTTTCTTAGGGTTAGATTTACGAAAGCATAAATGTTTTTTTGAAAAATTAAAAATTTACCTAAGTGTGTTTATTTCTGTGTATAGTAAACACTATTTAAGTATAATTTGATTTTATAACGTGGTTAGTTAGTTAATTTAGTCAATTTAGTTTAGGGTTTAGGGTTTAGGGTTTAGGGTCTGGACGACTTATAATTAAGTCGTCTGGTAAATATATTAATAAGGCAGACGACTTAGTCGGATGTATAATATCAACAGACGACTTAATTATAAGTCGTCCAAACCGGATTTTACCAAATTACTTTTAAACCTAAACATATTTTTTACCGGACATATATAAGATTATTATTTTTACTCACTTTTCGCGAAATTCAGAAAACCCTAACGCCGTTTCTCTCAAAGGTGATTTCAAAGGCGATTTCGATCCGATAGAAGACCGAGGTAAATCGAAGGCTTCTCTTGCAGATTTATGGGTTTTTATTAGGATGGATGTTGTTTTCCTTTACTTTTACCGTTTGTTTTTGCGTTTTCAACGATTTCGGGAAATTTTGGTTTGAAATTAGGGTTTCAAAAATTGGGGATTTCAATCGATTTGTTGTTTAGTTAGGTTGGATGTTGTTTTCCTCTCATTTTACGGTTACGATTTGTGATTTCAAGCAATTTGTGGATATTTTCATTTCAAATTAGAGTTTCAAAGATTGGGGATTTCAATCGATTTGTGGTCTAGTTAGGTTGGATGTTGTTCTCCTCTCATTCGCCTGGTCAGCTTTGAAATGTTCTACTGGAAGTCCTGGTAAACTTATAATTAAGTCGTTTGGAAAGTCTTCCAGGTGAACGACCCAGACGACTTAATATAAGTCTTCCAGACTTAGAATTAAAATGTTTCCATTTCGTTTCTTGTTTGCGGATGGCGAATCAGCATGAACCTCACTTCTTGAAGCCTCTGCTTCCTGGTTTCTACAGTGGCTTGGTATACACACGCTCTCTATTTCTCCTCTGTTTATTTCCTTTGCTTAACTTCTCCTTTGTTGACTTGTAGACAATATCACTTGCCTTCTACTCAAAACACATACAAGGCAAGCCGAACCAAGGAAAATGGACACTACGATCGGACGCTTCACACGAAACTTGGGAAGTTATACAAGAAGGAAGAAGACTCACCGATGGTTGGAAAGCCTTCGCCCAAGCACACTCCCTTTGCATCAGTGACATTGTCGTGTTCAAAAAGGAAGGATACATGGTATTTCATGTGACTCCTTTCGGTCCTAGTTTTACTGAGATTCAGTATACACCTCCTCAAGGGGATGATTCTGCGGATGGTGCCTCAACTTCCTCGTCTCTTCCTAAATGATGCATGTTTGTCTTGCTATTGTCTTATTGTAATATGCTTCTAGTGGACTTGTAATGGATGACTTCTATGTTGTTCTTCCCTTGTTTCAAAATGTTATTAAACCTATGACTTGTAATGGATGATCAACTATTATAACTACAACTCCTTTGTCCTCTATGTACATCCGACTAACACAAATTCTAACACAAATTCTTAAAACATACTCATAAAACCTGGACGACTTAGTAGACGACTAATATTTAAGTCGTCTGGAAAGTCATCCAGCCGGAAGATTTGTCAGACGACTTAATTATTAGTCGTCTAACCCCCGTAAGTATTCTATTCAGAAAACCCTAACGCCGTTTCTCTCAAAGGTGATTTCAAAGGCGATTTCGATCTGATAGAAGACCAAGGTAAATCGAAGGCCTCTCTTGTAGATTTATGGGTTTTTATTAGGATGGATGTTGTTTTCCCTTACTTTTACCGTTTGTTTTTGCGTTTTCAAAGATTTCGAGAAATTTTGGTTTGAAATTAGGGTTTCAAAAATTGGGGATTTCAATCGATTTGTTGTTTAGTTAGGTTGGATGTTGTTTTCCTCTCATTTTACGGTTACGATTTGTGATTTCAAGCAATTTGTGGATATTTTCATTTCAAATTTGGATTTCAAAGATTGGAGATTTCGATCGATTTGTTGTTTAGTTAGGTTGGATGTTGTTTTCCTCTCATTTTACGGTTACCGTCGTTCTCATCGTGCTTCTTTTTCACGTCTATTTTTGCAGTTCTATAACCGCTATGTCGAAGGCGACTACATATTCTCCGAAATTTCAAGTCAGCTTTCAAATGTTCAACTGGAAGTCTTGGTAGACTTATAATTAAGTCGTCGGGAAAGTCTTCCACCTGGAAGACTTACCAGACGACTTTATATAAGTCTTTCGACTGGAAGACTTGACAGACGACTTAATTATAAGTCGTCTGGAAAGTCTTCCAGACTTATAATTAAAGTGTTATACTGGATGGTTGTGTGTTTGAGATTGTTTTATTTGATTTTTTTACAGAAAAGAAAGGATATTCCTGAACTCCCCCGTAGGATACATACACTAGAGCAAGAGCCTGATGCAGTGCATAGCATTTTGTATCATCCGTGTACGAGGTTGTATACTATTCTAAGGGATGCTCTTAATGATGAAGAATATGAAGAGCTCAAGGAGTCTAAGTTGGGAGTTTTCATCAAGTTCCAAGAGCTGAAATTTGAATGGGCTTCAAGGCTGGTTCACTTCATGCTCTGTTTCCAGCTCGACATAAAGAAGAAGTATGAGCTGTGGAGTCTTGTTGGTCCAGAACCTGTGAGGTTTTCACTGTTCGAGTTTGAATACCTCACTGGTCTAAACTGCGAGTACATTAAGGACCTTGAGAGACCAAACTGTCCTGTTACAAAGGAGTTGGTTGCTTTCTGGGAGTTGTTGGGAGTTAATGTCGAAGCTGGGCCAACTACTGATCAGATAATAGATGCATTTGAGAGATGCGAAAGGTGGTCTCCGGATGATCGCAAGCGGCTCGGGTACCTTTCCATCTTGGCTGGATACATTGAAGGGATGAAGTTTTCAACCCCTACACGGGCTATTCTGGCTAGGCTAGTGATGGATCTAGAACGGTTTGAGAA